TTCTTCACAGTGTTAGCCATTATCATCAATTCGTTTTGAGGTGCACTATCAGGTCCAAGTATCCCTGGGTGAAGACCACGAATTGTATCTCGACCACTGGAGCCATAAGCTTTGATATCTCTGCCAATAAATCCACAGTGAATATGTTCATGGTCCTCTGTCAAGTGCCATGACATCTTCCTTGATACGGTCAAATTCCGTAATTGCAAGAACGAGTAGTGCCGGGGAAACGAAGGAAGAAATAGAAAGTCCCCATCGTATTCATTCAACCAAGCCTCGGGATCACAACAAAGAGTGTCAAGATCTTCAACTGAATCCCCAAAAAAAATAATCAGGCTTCCGTAAGGGTTCAATAGAGTTCCGAATAGGTGTTAGAGGCAAGTCAGTCAATAATTAACGCAATGTACGACGACTGCCCTCGTAAATCAACTCAAGGATGCTGTCAGCACAATCCTCATTAAACTGACGGGCCCCTCTGACCAGAAAATTCCCATCAGAAGAAGCCTGAAGAGTGCTACTTTGACCGGTATTCTCTTCACTAGAAAAAGCAATGGAAGGAAAGTGGACTGCAAATAAAATTGGAACACAATTGAATAAAGAGGAGGCTAGAAGAACAAGACTCATTGTTCTAAGTAGCTGCGACATTGTTCACTGCCGCGTGTTACCGCGGCAGTGTTTGCTACCGTGCTTAGCCGCGGCAGAACGTGCTGCCGCGGTAATGGGGCAACGACTGTTGGTTTTGAAAAATCACAAGTTTGAGCAAAACTCATGTCTTTACTGTGGTACATGTCTTGATCAAACAAGATATGTATTTTTATAGTGTCAATCCCCTCGAAGGAGGACGTCAACTCTTCCCGGATGACTCTCAAAGGAGACAAATGAGGATATGAATACAAATTATGAGTTTGAATGAAGAAAAAGCACGAGAAGCATACCCCCAAAGGAAGAAGCAGTGACCTCAGCCTCCTCCGACGCTTGGGCCACTGATTTTCCCTTAGGAACACGAGATTTCTTAGGGGACATGATAGAAAATACCTAAAAGACAAAGAAATTAAGGTTTCGGGTGAGATCTTAAGCACGAAAAGCAAAACAAACCCAAAATACCAGAAGTAGGTTCAGTTTTACCAGGGATTGAAAGAAATAAGGCTTAGAGGGTGAACGAATCGAAGAAAAAAACCCGAATCTGAGAAGACCCCCGAAAAAACCTTGAATTTCCTTCGAATGAGATCAACATGTTTTGAATAGATGGGGAGGAGAAAAGCCAAATGATGTCTTTATAGGGTATACGGGAGAACTTAGATCTCAGAGGGGTGGGGGAAAATGACCCGAAAAGGCCCGAAGTCTGCTTTTAAACCCGACTGGAGGCGTCTGTGCACGGCGATCGAAGCTGACACGCTATAGCGCGTCAGTCTTAGCTGATGGGCTTAAGCGCGTCAGACTTCGCTGA